CAATAAGAAAAAAGAAAGGAAGCAATACGTAAATGGTACATAGAATGTGCATAATTTTGAATAAAATCCGTAGTACGTTTTTGTTATCAGTTATGTGACAACAATATTTTATGATAACTTGAATGAGTGCAAAAGAGTGCTGCTGCTTCAAAATAACATTTAGAATTCATTAGAATAACTGATAAGGTAGGTATCACATATTACGTATTTATGACGAATATGAACTATGAATATGAACTATGTGTAAAATATTTATTATATAGTTATTTTATATCGATTTAAACAGTAAAGTACGTAGTAGCTTTTAGGGATAAAAATTTACAAATAAAGAAAATGCTAATAATGTAATAATGAATGTAATGGTCATAACCGTAAATAACTTTTTAAACACCCCTTATACTGTAAGAAAAGTCGTAACTTTTTTATAAATAGCTTTTTACATCGAAAGTTAGCCCCGAGTCATATTATTAAAATTAAAGGTTTATCATTTCTCTTTAATCTATTTTTAATGAGATTAAAAAGAGATGATCATCTACGAGGGCATTATTAAAAAAAAAAAGTTGCCAAGTTTTGCACCAAAGAAAATCGAAAAATTTTCATGTGCATAACATGTAAAACCGTTTATTTGGAACACAATGTTTATTCGTAAACATTAATGTACAGTAAATCATAATTATATATTACTAAAATAATACTACAGTATAGCTATATGACTTTATATGACTATTAAATACAAAAATAAAAAACATCGAAAATTTATTACGTAGAAGATTTTTTTTGTAAAGATTCTAAGGAAAAAAAATTACATTTTACTTGTTTTTTAAAGGGAAAAAGTTACACATTTATATTTCTTATAACAAATAAAGCCTCTGAAACAAAAATGGGAGTGTGTGTGTGTTTTTTTTTAAGAAAAAAAAAAGAAAAATGTCAAACAAATAAATGATAAAAAGAAATAAAATATAATCAACCAAATTAAATGAACATAGATGATCCAGCAATCACTATAAATGATGCAGCTATTGTTATAAAATTGAAGATATATTGTGTCTCTGCTGATGACTTAGGCGAATTTGAACCTGAACCTGAACCTGAACCTGATGTTGGTGATGATGATGATGTGGAATTAGGTAAAACGACATTTTCTACATAAGGAGGACTATTCGGAATACAATTTGAAAGCTGCCTAGAGGTAAAACCATAGCTCTTTACAATATCCATAGCAGCAGGAGCTTTGGATGCAGAAGTATTATATAAATCATGTTCGAGAGTTATGGTTCCAGTAGTTGCCGATTTATTTGCAGCCCATTCGGTGAAATTGCCAGTAATCCAATTTAAGTCATAAGTAGGATCGGCAGCTGATTTCCAATCAAAGGTATCATGATTCCAAAGTGCAACTTTATACCCTAATTGTGTTGCAATTCCTCTAACTCTATCATCGCAATCACCTAGTGGAGGACGCATAAATTTTGGAGTTAAATTTACAGCTTTTTGAATCGCTAATTCAGTCCATTTTAATTCTGCAATAATTTGCTCATCAGTTATTGTAGTTAATTGAGGGTGTGACCATGTATGTACACCAATTTGATGACCTGAATAAAAGAAGTTCGAATTTAGAAACTTATTATCTTATTTAGAGGGTCTTTCTACGTAGAAGTTACATGAACCAGAATTGGCAAGCGTGATTAGACTGTGATTAGGTAGTCAGGCAAATTGCTGCGCCAATCACGTTTGCTAAACCCTGTTCGTGTAACTTCTAAAAAGACCCTACCCTTAATTAAAAATATATACTGTACGTACCTTCACGTACAGTTCGTTGTAGGATTTCAGGATATTCGACAACACGAGAACCGATAACGAAAAATGTTGCTTTTTGATTAGTTTTGTTGAGATGATCTAGAATTCCTATCGTATTATTTCTTTAAAATTTGATAAAAGTTATTAGAATACATATAAAATTGAGCATTAAATAAAGCGAAATTTTCTCTTAAAATACTTACGAAGGGCCATCATCATAGGTTAAACCCCAATCTTTTAAAAAAATTTTCGAATTAATATATATCTTTTTGTCATTTTTTATTTTATTTTATTTATTTATTTATTTTTTTACCTTTTTTATCTGGGCAATAAGTTACATCAGTTTCTGGTCTAGAACAAGCGTAGCATACGAAAGAACAATAAGTGTCAACGCCTGGTTGACAGGCGTATCCGACTAGATTTTTAGGGGCTGGAGGATATTTTGATTTATCAACTAAAGCAGTCCAAGCAGCAACCGCTGGTGGTGGTACATCAAGTTGAGGCCAAGTTGGGTTTGAAGTGAGTCCTGTTGGTGTATTTGTTAAAGATGCAGCGGTAGTTGTGATAGATACCACCAACGTAATGTATATTTTTAACAAATTTTTATTATACATATACATGATTCTTCTTTTCAATTTTGGTTTTATTTTTTGTCAAATAAAATTTTTAAAACAAGTTTCTTGTCAAAAGAAATAATGTTTATAAAAAATAAGAAAATAAATTAAGAAAATTTCTTTATGTATGTCACTAAAAAAAAAAAAAAAAAAAAAAAACCCCAAAAAACTATAGTTGATTCTAAATAAACTCAAATTGAAAATAAATTTTTCAACAAGAGGCAAGAGGAGTTGTTAGGGAGAATGTCTTTTTTTTTATAGTGATTCACCGAAACTAATCCTAAATTATATCACGCTACTAAAAATAAGTACATATACGTAAAATGTATATTTATATTTATTTATTTACAATTATATATTATACATTATATAATGTTGTATATATATAAATATATATACATGGTATATGCAATAAATAAATTAAATAAACATATTCACATTATTAAAAGTGCTTTTTTTTTTACTGAACTAGTTGAACTGGTACGCACGTCCGTACTTAAATACTGTACAATGCTGCACGCTTATAATATCGATCACAAAAAAAAAAACTTACTATTTTTAACAAAAATAGAATGATAACCGGTATACGTAGTACTGGTATAGTGTAAATATATGACCAAATTTGGATTCGTAAAAAATACTACCATGAAATCTATGAAATCTATGAAAAATCTTTAAAACTAATGTTTCGAATTTTTGTTATGAAACCGTTACCTAAAAGTAGTTAATATGATGGATGATATATGTAAGTAATCGAGTGCTACGTAAGTAACTACGTATTACTGTTATACTTAGTACTTTCTAAGATTTCAAATATAAACTTAGTTTTGGCGTTAAATGAATCAATGCATCTTTTTATAAATGCTATATATTCATGCGGATCATTTAATCATTTATGCAGACGATTTATTGATCACACGTTTATATCTGAATTTTCCATGATGTTTTTTTAAAAAATATTCCGTTGGAATATAAATATATACTGTTAAATATACTAAATATAAATGTTGTACGTACTGAAAATATAAATACTATGAATATAAATGCATAAAACAAAAGTTTTGGTCTCTATTTTTCTCGTATACTTTTTAATAATTATAAAATTTCACTATATTTTTAAATTCTATATATTTCTCATCAATCAGTATATAATTTGATGTTCTCACGGTTGGTTGGTTGGTATATTCAAAGATTTCAGAATATTATTGGTGATAATAGAATTATAATCTAATTGTGGATTTGATCTACAATCATCGATTTGTTGAATTTATGATTAAAATTTCTCGAAATAACAGATAAGTTGTAAATGGCGTAATTTAATGTGCACAACAGCCTTATATTTTGTCAAGGTAAATTTATAAATATGCAAAAGATCTAAAAATTTTTCTATTTGAAATTTCCTTTATTTAGTTTTTACATACCAAATTATGTATTACGGTAATAATTCCATATCAATACCGATATTTTTGTTTTTATTAATTTTATCGTCGGTTATTTGTTTATCAATTACTAATACTAACTATTACTCGGGAAATTTTGAAAATAATTTAATGCGGGGCTGAGGTACGCATGGAACGGGAAACCACGTGTCACATATTCGATATAAATATAGATTGGCTTATCACACATCCCTGAAAAAAAAATGTTTATAATGTCAAAAATAAAAAAAAACGTGACTTATGCAGGTGGGTACTGTTAATTATATATATTTATATTTATGTGTATACATACCTTTTTGCTCACCTTTTTGGGTTTAATTCGCTTAATTTCTTTATCTTTTCGAGTTAGTGATTTTAAAAAAATTTATAGTTAATACCTGCATTTACACTTTGCGCAATCAATTGTTAGCGTAATATGCTTAAAAAAGTTAAGCCCCTGTTTAACATCTATTTATGAAAGTACTGGCTTACAACTAATAATCACGTTCTTATCAGTTATGTGGTCTTTTTTAATATATAATAAGAATTATCGTTATTAATCTTTCATATTTTTGGTTATGTGGGTTATGTGATTTGCTAAGTACCCACACCGGTTAATACCGTAATCCGAAATTTAATGCAAACTAAGCAGATTAGTTTATATTGAGAATTTCCCATTTACAGACTAGATTTTGAACCAATCTTACTATTTAAACTATCGATAAAGCAATATGCATATCATTTTAAAAACAATTTTTTTTACATATGTTTTTTTTGTGAAAAAAGATATTAATAAACTTACAAATTAAGTAATTTTGTGTATTAACGTATTGTTAACTGTTTTGCTTACACTTATATACGTACATACAATTACTGTGTTTGATAAATATTCAAAAACAAGACCCATGTGAGTTTTGATGATCATGCAATTTGTTTGTCACTTAATATTTAAGTACGAAAATATATAAATATTTATTATTATTATTTGTCAATGTCTTAATCGTCCATCTGTTTCAAAAAATTTTACTACATAGTAATAAATGATAAAGTATAAATTAGTTAACGATTATCTATGATTTTAAGTGATCCGTAAAATTAATGACTATCATTTTAATCAATCGTCCGACATTTACTCGGTTCATGTAAATAAAAATTTATTTATACAAAGATTTCTTGATGCCAATTTTTATATAAAATTTCTGTTATAACTTTAATTGCTTAATTATATAGAAGAATAGTCATGTGAGTGAACAATCAACTATATAGATCAAACCTATGTGTAGTATCATACAGTATATGTGATGCCCAAAGCAAACTTATCAATCAATCCTTATGTGTGGCATCGTATGAATAACGCTGGATGAAAACCTGTAAATCATATTCTTTTTTATTTACATTTAATAAAAATATCTTAAGGTAATTGAGCATTTGAGATTTTAATATTATTCGAATCGCTCATTATTAACATTAAGACGTTTCAAAAGATACTAAAATTTATTGCGCGGATCTTATGTGACAACCCGTGCTTTTTTCGTACTAGTTATCAGTCGGGTCGTAGATGATAACTGATCATTCATCTACTAAAGACTCGACTGATAAATTTACTTATTGGTACGTACGTACGGGATTTTTACGTCAGACACCGTGCAATAAAATAGTTGTTGTCTGGGTATTTTGAATAACCAAATTACACACACGAGTTCATATTTAAATCCCGTGCCGAAGGCACGAAATATGAATCCACTTATAGTGAGACATTCGTCTGATTAGCTGATGTAAATCAATTGCCCGGGGTAACTTATTTATACATTTTAAAATACTTTTGGGAACGTAATGTTTCACTAATACTGTAATAAAAAATCACTGCAAAAGCCATTGTTCACTTCAAAAGAACGTTTAATATAATCAGCAACCCGAGAACTTTACTTTGAAGACAAAGTATGCCTACCGTTTATTGGATCATATTGTAGAGTGAAGGTAACTGGAAACGTTTTCGTCTAAAGCTATTTTATTACGTTAGATTTAGATAAACTTTTA